GTGGTGTCGTAATCACAGCGATCCATGGGCTATCAAACAACATACCACAACTATTAATGATTTATGTGGTAAAGTATTTGTTCCCTCTGGTATCGGCCGAACGCTTAGATCTATCACATATTACAGTCGATGGAAAGCTAATGAATGTCGTCTATTTTTACTTTGTTACTATCCCACATTAATCAGTTTTTTATCAGAAACTTACTATCAACATCTTCTGTTATTTGTTCATTCTATTTTTTTGTTGTGTAAGCATAGGCTAACCGATGACGATGTACGGGAAGCTCATTATTTATTAATCCAGTTTGTTAAAAACTATGAATTGTTATATGGTTTTGAAGAAATGGCATCGGTCATGCACGATTTATTACATATAGCCTGCACTGTTTACTTATATGGTCCACTTCACGGCTATAGCGCCTTCGGATTTGAAGATCTTAATGGTGCATTTGTCGAAGCAGTACATGGAATGAAACTACCATCAACACAAATTTTAAATTCATTTATATGGTGGCAAAAATGGATGTGGGTGCATGAAAATGAAAAATCAACAAAATCAACGATATGTGAATTTATCAATAAAACACTGAATAAATCTGATAATAACAGTGCAACAGAACTTAATGGTGTTCGTTATGGCTTACATCGTTTGAAAAATAAACAAATTCAAGCTTATTTACTAGAATATCCACGTATTTCTGTTATTGTGAAATCAGGGCTTTATAAAAATGCTAGGCTGAGAAGCAGCATTTTTTCAAAAAATACCTACGTAGACTCTGTTTTTCTTTTGAAGAGTAAAGAAATTGTGCATTGTACATGTTTGTATTTGTTTAATGATCAATGATTTTTTATTGGACATGTCTTTATTTCTGATTTAAAACATTTTCGTGTTTTAGGCAATTATGAGTATGTACATCGCTCTGTTCTCAGTGTTGGGCATTTTGATAATCACATGACAGAATGGCCGCTAGATTTGTTTCGAGAACGTCTTATTGTATATAGACTATCCAGTTCTGATTTAGCTGTCCTGAAAATGCCCTGTTTTTCTGAGCATAACTAATCGCTTGCTTGTAATCTTACAAAACGCTTATAACTATGGAACAAAAAGGAGGCCTAGAGACTCGCGGTTTTCACCATTGGAAAAAGCAGCTCGTGGGACGTTTCTCCATGTAGGAAGTAAATTTTTCGAAGAGGTTTTCCCGGTAGACCTCGTCCGGTAAAACCCGTAGTATCTCAAAATTAGTCGACAAAAATTTTTTTTTCAAGTAGGTCATAGATTATTGACTACCCTAATTCCGAATATCACCATGCCGGCTGCCCTTAGGATTCCGGAGAGCGGTTTTATGGAATACTAGTTTTTCGGAAACTCTAAAAAGTAACCAAAACCTT